GGAGGACATGCACCTACTTGCTGTGGTGACTCAAGTGAACATGGTGGAGTCCAACCCAAAGAAATGGTGGATGGATACTGGCGCGTCCAGGCATGTGTGCACTCATAGAAGCCACTTTACCACCTTTGAACAAGTCCATGGAGAGAAGATCTACATGGGAAATGTTGTTGTTGCCATTGTCGAAGGCAAAGGAATCGTGAAGCTCAAGATGACTTCGGGCAAGACTCTGACGCTCACAGATGTGCAGTATGTGCCAGAAGTGCGCAAGAACCTTGTGTCAGGATTCATGCTAGACAAGAATGGGTTTCACATTGTAATAAAGTCTAATAAGGTTGTTTTGTCTAAGAAAGGAATGTTTGTTGGGAAAGGGTATGCAACCGATGGACTGTTCAAACTCAATGTAATGACTGTTGTCAATGAAATGAATGCAAGTACCTCTTAGGCTTATTTGATTGAGTCTTCCAATTTATGGCATTGTAGACTAGGTCATGTTAATTCTGATTCGATATGTCGATTAATTGACTTGAACCATATACCAACATTCCAAATCGACATAGAAAACAAATGCAAAATTTGTGTCGAAGCAAAGTTAACGAGGTAATCTTTTCAAACGGTTGAAAGGAGTACTGAACCACTTGAATTAGTTCACAGTGATTTTTGTGATTTGAAATCAGTTCAAACACGAGGTGGTAATAAGTATTTTATCATGTTTATTGATGATAGCATGAAATATTGCTATGTTTACTTATTAAAAAGTAAAGACGAAGCATTAGAGAAATTCGTTCTCTATAAAACCGAAGTTGAAAATCAACTTGGTAAAAAGATTAAGAGATTGAGAAGTGATAGAGGTGGTGAATATGAAGCGTCGATTGGTGGCTTTTATGCACAACATGAAATTGTTCATGAAGTGACAGCGCCTTATTCACCTCAATCTAATGGGGTTGCTGAACGGAAAAATTGCACATTGAAGGAAATGGTGAATGCGATGCTGATAAGTTCCGGGCTACCTCCCAATATGTGGGGAGAAGCTGTCTTGTCTAGTAATTACCTTTTAAATAGGGTTCCCGAAAGAAAGAAGACAAGACTCCATATGAATTATGGAAAGGAAAGAGACCATCCTACAAACACTTGCGAGTGTGAGGGTGTCTGACAGATGTAGTTGTACCTCCGCCAAAAGCAATAAAAATTGGACCTAAAACGGTCGATTGTATTTTTATTGGATATGTACAAAATAGTAATGCATATCGGTTCTTGGTACATGATTCGAAAATTTTGGATATACATAAGAACACGGTTTTAGAGTCAAGAAATGCATATTTCTTTGAAAATGTATTTCCTTATGAGTCTAAGGATGAAGCTAGTTCATCAACTAACTCATCAAAACGAACTCATGAAGAAGTTCATGATTCGCTTGAGGTTCAAGATGTTGAAACAAGACGAAGTAAAAGGGCAAGAGTGGAAAAATCATATGGTGATGAGTTTGTAACCTATTTGCTAGAGAAAGAACCTCTAACTTATGCTGAGGCAGTGAGTTCTTTTGAGGGACCTTTACGGGAAGAAGCCATAAAGAGTGAGATTGATTCAATTTTACAAAATCATACTTGAGAGCCTGTAGATCTCCCACCGGGAAGTAAACCGTTAGGATCCAAATGGATCTTCAAGAGGAAATTGAAACCAGGTGGTTCCATTGATAAATACAAGACTAGGCTCGTAATCAAAGGGTGTAAACAACGAGAAGGTGTAGACAATACGTATTCTCCCATGACGAGAATAAATTCTATAAGGATGATACTTCCTATCACAGCTTTCGTTTGACCGTTGGGCTGGTCAAAAACGTTTTGGAGGTTTTGTTCTTTGAATTCTCTGAATTTAACAGAATTAAAATGATGAAACCATTGCAAGATTTGCTGCCATTTGAAAGGCTTCTCCAGCATATAAATAGGTACTCATTTTCCAAAATTCAACTCACCTTTCTCCCATCTCTTCTCAGTTTTCTTTAGCCTTCCTTCATTTTTGTTTCCGGTGTTCATCGTAGTGTTCTTAGTTCCAGTTCGCTGGTGAAGTTTCTTTGTGCTATGAAGTCTTTGCGTTTCCATTGTATCCTGAGAAACAGTTGCTCGAGATCCTCAAGCACCTAAAAGAGGGCAAATCTGTTTTAAGAAGATCGTGTTTTCACGAGCCTCGGATTATTCTATCCTTCTATTTTCTTAGCCATTACAAATACTTGTCATGTTTTTACCAACATTCATGTGTGCTATTTCCCCCTTTTTGGTTAATTAGTTATATATATTAACCAAATTTTATTAATCATGATCTCGTAGAGTAAATATAGCTCATTATTGTTCGGTTAATTTTTTTTTAAAAAAATAGATTTATGGTTTGTTATGATATTTTGTTAATATGGATAGTTAATAAAAGTTTAGTTATTAGACAAATACTAAAGTTCCACTTACATGTATTATTGTTTTCGTTCACGGGATATAAATCTCATAGAATTCCATATGTACTAAAATGTTGAAAATGTTAAAAAATCAAACTTAACTAAATTCAGTTAAGTTTTTTTTTTTTTATAACTTTTAGAGTATAAATTCAATTTGTAGATAAACATTGCTTTTGTGTTTTTCGCGTTTCCTTTTTTACATTTAAAAAATAAAAAATCAAGGTCAATTAAAAGTAGTAAATTTTATTGGAAAAATTCCTATTAAAGGTGTTGCAACTTTAGTAATTCTTAAGAAGGGTGTTAAAACTTTTAAAATTCCTTTTAAGGGCGTAATTATTATTTAAGATGTGAATATTCCCTTTCATGGAAATTCTACCCTTAATTGCATTTGCTCTTTTTTTTTTTTGTTTTCAAGGAAAGAATACGTATTTATTTTTATTCACTGATTTTTCTCAACTTAGTCCTATTCAAATTTCTTGGTTCCCTGTACGCTAGGGGAGCCAAATTCTTGGGACAATGTTAGGTAAATTGTAACCATCTATAACACAAATACGAACACATTCTTCATGGGCGATTGTGGTTGAAACAATTCACACTAAGTTTAAAGATGCTGAAATCTATTGTAGAATTGGAAAATGACAACTTCCAGTGAGAGAATCTTGATAAGAGATGATGAGAAAATCAAGATTATAGAGTTCCAAAATAACCAAGATTATTAAAAGGATCCCATATAGCAAATATTACGAATAAGTGGAGCATTTAGTTTGGGAGACATTGCTTGATTTGTATCATCGAAATTTATAATAAACGACTAAGTCAATAAAAATAATTGGGGTAAAAAATTGCAACAATGCATTATCTTATTGTGCGGATCAATCAATTTAAGTAATTGTGGGAAAAAAGGACATTGCTCAAAAGTCTTCAAACTACTCCCATGGCATCGTTTATTTTGGAAAATTGAATATGTTTTAGGATTGAGTTCCAAAACAAGAACAATTCTTATTTAACAAAAAAAAAAAAGAAAGTGAATCCAACACAATCGGTGAAATAATGAAATAGTATACATGTAATAATTACAACAAAAAGGATAGAATTGTCATTAAAGACAATTTTCACATCTTAAGTAATGGTTACACCCTTAAAAGGAATTTTGAATGTTTTACACCCTTTTTAGAAATTATAAAAGTTAGAGCACCCTTAAGAAGAATTCTCCCAATTTTATTGAGAAACTTATCAATTTTACCTCTTTGAAGGAGTATTCTTATCTGTATGTCAATGGTGTTACTCTAATCTCAAAAACTTATATGTTATGTCATCGTTAAGTTTTTTTTTAACTTTTAGCGATAATCTTATGGTTTATGTTTTTTTTAGAAAATGTAGTTTGTTAAGATACTCCTTATCCCATTATAATTATTCCTTATATAATTTAACAAGCGTTGTTCATAATCACAACTTACTCATTCATAGGTAGATGTTTTTTTCCTCCGGTTCTTATTATAAGACATTTTGATTTATATTAGGTTTCATCTTGTAGTTTTTTGGATTGAAAGAAAAAATCTTAAAAAGAATACACTCTTGAACCCCCATTTAATCTCTGCTACGCTCTCTCTCACGTTGACGCCATTTATCAAACCCTAACATTGCTCTCGGTCTTCATGGCCGAAGATCAAACCGGTGAGGCCCCCACTCGGCCTCCTCGAACCTTTGTTAGTTTCTTTCAAAAGTCTACAGACATTTCAATGGCTAAGGTTTCACTCATCAAAGAAGTATAATTTATCAATGGTGCGACGGTGTTGGAATATGAAGATCGTGAATATGATAAATTAGTAGCCCCCCATAAACTCAGCTTAATTGGAAACTTTTCCTACGGTAGGCCCAAAATGGAAGAAGTGCACAAGGAATTCAAAAAACTAGGTTTTCATGGTGGCTACAGGCTAGGGCCATGAACCATAGGCACGTTCTCATTCGATTTGAAAGGGAAGAAGACTATCAACGGTGTTGGATTCGCACGTTCTGGAACATAGCCTAGTTTTCTTTGAGGATTCACAAATGGAAGGCGGGATTTAAATATGCGGAAGACCCCCCTCCCAATTGTGCCAATTTGGGTATCTTTATCTGATCTCCCAATTGAATTCATAAATCCAGATATTATTTTCTCTATGGCTACCGCAATAGGAAAACCATTGAAGGTGGATGCTCCAACGTTGAACATGAAAAAACAATCGGTAGGAAGGTTTTGCATAGAAGTTGACCTTACAAAAGAGTTTCTGAAATCTGTGAAAGTAGGGAAGAAAGGCAAGAAGCATGAGCAGATTTTCACCTACGAGCATATCCCAAACTATTGCTCCAAATGCTGTAAAATTGGCCATAAAAGGTAGATTGCAAGGATGGGGTTCCGAAGCCATTAGTAAATAGGAAGAAGTTGCACGATGGTCCAATTGAAGGCTCAAAGAACAAGGGGTTCCCAAAGGCTTCATTCGCGAAGGGCGCAAGCCCTAACTCGCAAGTTGCGTTAAAATCCTCGCAACCCATCCAACACTCGCAACCTGCGACAGAGAAAATGGAGGCTTCGACGTTAGTCTTAACATCTAAGGAGAAGGATGTAATTCCTATTGACGTGCAAAGCCATATTGCTGTAGAATCTGAAAAACTAATTAGTGTAGCTCCTTCTGACTCGGGGATGAATGTATAAAGTGGATCCTCAAGATTTTGATAAAGCGAATAAAACCATTCTGGTGGAAATTAATAGATATTTGGTTCTCGCTTCAATCACAAAGGTTGACGATGAGATGGAATCTGATGATGAATTTATTGAGAGTGTCTATGTTGAAGAATCTCCGAAAAAGGTGGTTGAGGAATCGACTAAGTCAGAGGCAAATGAAGGCTCGCGACTTGCCCTAGCCCTTATGACAATGAAAAAAATGCCGCGCCTCGGTCCTCTTTTAGATGATAATGCCATTGGGTTGCGAAGTGGTTTGATTCATGAAGAACAAAATGATGAAGGTAGATGGTCAGAGGGGGAAAAATATGAAGCTTTGGTACAAGGAAAGATGCAAGGGGAATTTTCTGTATCAAGGAAACGGGGTCGGAAATCTAAGGAAGAAAGAGCAAAGTCGCAGGCGGGCTTGGTTTTGCGAAGGTGGGCCCGATTGAATTGATTTTTTGACAATCATCTGTCCAATGATAAGCCAAATAATATGGAATAGTCGAGGTATTAAACGTCAAGCATAATAGCGACGGTTGAAGACTCTACTTCGAATTCATAAGGTTAAACTTTTGGTTATATTGGAGCCAACGCTTCAAGTTAATAAATTAGAAGAAATAAGGCGGGAGTTGCACTTCGATGTGGCTTTTGCATCAAGTACTAGTAAAATATGGGTGTTTTGCATGGCAAAATTCGATATCACTTTGTTCGAGGATAATGAGCAAGTATTACACGTTGAAGTTAAACACGCCTCGGTCACTGATTCTTTCTTTATGTCGGAGATATATGCTAATTCAAGGAGGGTGGATAGAATGTCATTATGGAGGAATTTGATTGACTTTCGACAGAGAAATCCGGCAGTTCCATGGATGGTTGGAGGGGACTTTAATGTGATTCGATGTCTTGAAGAATATTCCGAAGTATCTGTTCAAGATCATGCCACGATGGAAAATTTTAATGAATGCATCTAGTCATGTGGTTTGTTGGAAATTCCCTCTGTTGGAGAGGAGTACACATGGGGAGGAGCAAGGCAAACGGGTTGCATGAGTAAAAATTTGGATAGGGTGTTATTCTCGGAAGAGTGGCAAGATCTTTTCCCGGTTTCTTCTATTAAAAATCTAAATAGAACTACCTCCGATCGTTGTCCGATGTTGCACATGTTTGGGCAAGGAGAAAGCAAAGCGAGGTTATTCTGCTTTCAAAAAATGTGGCTTCGTAGATCGGATTTTCTAGATGTGGTAAAAGAAAGTTGGGATCAGCCAATAGATGCTTTTGGTATGGTTTCCTTGTCCCTCAAGTTGCAAAGACTCAAGTTGAGGCTTAAGGAATGGAACAAGAGCTGCTTTGGGGATGTCTTTGTCAACCTAAAAGAGGCGGAGGTAAAAGTGCAAGAACTGGAAATGCAATATGATGTGACAGGTTCTGAAATGGGTGGACCGAATCTACAGCTTGCAAAGGCCCTATAATTACAAAGGCTGAAAGAACAAGACGATTTCTTGAGGAAAAAAGTTAAGGTGAAGTGGTTAAAGGAGGGTGATGCTAACACTTCGTTTTTTCATGCTTCATTGAAGGAAAGGCGGTTGCGACAAAGTATTCATAAAATTCAATCTAGGAGTGGCGAAATGTTAACTGGAATGGCTGCCATTGAAAGTGAAGAGGCTGATTTTTTCCATGAGCTCTTAAAAGAGGAAGAAAACCCAAAGGGCACCGCTATCCAACAAACCTCTTTGCAGCATATACAAAAAATTTTGGGGAGTGAGGATCATGAAATGCTCCAAAAGCCAATCTCAATTGAAGAAGTTAAGGAGGCGGTTTTCAATTTAAATGAGGAAAGTGCGCCGGGTGTGGATGGATTTGGTGGAGTGTTTTATGGAAGCTGTTGGAGTGTCATTGGAAATGATCTTTGGTTAGCTTGGAGTGCCAATTCCAAGGTCTATAACTAGTACCTTGATCACTCTTCTTCCTGAGAAGGCAACAGTAAGTACTTTCTCGAATTTATGTCCCGTAAGTCTTTGTAACTTCTTGAACAAGGTATTTACTAAAGTGTTGTTGGAAAGGCTGAAAATTGTCTTGCTAAAGTTAATATATGAGGAACAATCTGCTTTTTTGGCTGGTCGGGATATAATTGACAATGTCATATTGGCTCAAGACTTTTGTCAATTCATAGACCGAAAGATAGAGTAATATTGTAGTGAAAGCTGATATGATAAAGGCCTTTGACCGGGTTAAATGGAGTTTTCTTGAAGCCATTTTGATGAAGTTTGGTTTTCCATCTCACTTTGTTGGACTGATATTGAATAACATCCAAAATAGTTGGTCTTCCATTATGATTAATGGAAGTCCAGTTGGCTATTTTCAGGCATCACGTGGAATATAACAAGGGGATCCATTATCCCCTTATTTGTTCATCATAGTCTCATAAGCTTTGACAAGAAGACCAAAGTCATTGATAGATGATGGAAAGATTGCAACATATGGCACTCCGGCGGGATCTTTGGTGGTAACACACTTATATTTTGTGGATGACTTGATAATATTCTCCAAGGGCCTTCAAAGGTCATTAAAAGAAATAAATTTGTTCTTTGAGCAATTTGAGATGGTGATGGGGCAAAAATTCAGCAGGGAAAAGAGTTTCTTTGTAACTTCTGGAAAATGCAATCCTAGAAGGGTGGAGATGATTAAGAGGACCTTGGGTATGCAAAAAGGAGAGTTCCCCTTTGCTTATTTGGGTCACTGATTGTTTTATGGAAGGAAAAAGGCCTCCACTTTTCAGTTTCTCTTAGATGCTATTGATATGAAGCTTTAAAGTTGGATAAACAAGTTGTTGTCTCCTGGAGGCCAGTTGATTTAATTCAACATGTCTTGTATTCTATGCATATCCATGTATTTTCAGCAATCCCACCTCCCAAGTCGATAATAAAAGAAATGTAAAATAAGTGCCAAAAATTTCTTTGGGAGGGGGCGAATGAGGTCAAGAAGCAAGATTGGCGGTCTTGGAGTAGGGTTACTCTTCTGGTGCAAGAGAATGGCCTTGGCTTGAGAAGTTTTCATGATGTCATAGCTGCACTAACATCTAAGTTGTGGTGGAACTTGAAGCATAAGACAGGCATCTGGAGTTCTTTCCTACTCTCATTATCAAATGCGGCCAAGGAGAAAACATCTTGGGCTAGGGTTATGAAAATTGAAGAAAAAACAGCTGCCCTTTCTAAGGTTATTGTGCGAAGAGGTGATAGGTCCTTTTGGTTTGATAAGTGGGCGGTAAATGGCATTATTTGGGACCATGAACTTGGCCAGCCTCCGTGGCTGATCTCACAATTAGGGAGTTCGTTGATAATAAGGAATTATATTTGGCCGAGTTACATGAAATGCTTAACCCTTTGACTTTAGCTTTCTTGGAAAATTTTGAGACTACTTTCGAATGAAGATGTTTTGGTTTGGCAAAACTCTCCTCAAGGGCAATTCTCGGTCAAGTTAGCTTATGAAGCTCTTCGTTGCAAGCAGATTTGACCTACGGTGAATAATATATGGCAAAATAGTGCCTTCTCGTTTCTCCTTTTTCTTATGGAGGTTGCGCAATGGTTTGCTCCCTTTCCCTGAAATTCTTGGTAGTTTTGGCATTGTCATAAGGCCTTCGATTTGTTTTCTTTGCAAACAGCATTCTGATGGCTTGATTCGTTGCTTCTATAGTTGTGAGTTTACATTGGCAATTTGGAACCACTTTGCATCCGTCGTGAATATTATTGTTCGAGGTCATACTACTCTTGTAGGGTTGCTGAAAAGATGGTGGAGGAGGGGCTCATTTTGTTCCGTGAAAAAATCCCTATATAACTTGTTTCCTATTTTTCTTCTTTGGGAGGTCTAGAAGGCAAGGAATAAGGTGATTTTTGAAGGTACTAAAGCCAAGGAATTATATTCAAAAACGTATTCTATCTTGAATATGTTTTTGATTCAAAAACATATTCTATCTTGAATTATATTCGTGACTTCATTTTGGTGCATGGATTGAAAGTTGATAATGATGCTGAAAAAAATTTTATATCGGATTTATTTGGAGTGAACTTGTCCCGATCCACAAGAAGGAGCTCCAAGATGGTTAGATGGATTCCACCAGATTCTAATTCTTATATTTTGAATTCGGATGGATCCTCAAATTAATACAAGTTGTGCTGGTTATGGTTTTGTAATTCGTGGAGAAGGTGTTAAGTTTGTATACGGTGAATGTGGATATCTTGGAGATGGTGACTGTTTGTAAGTGGAACTATGTGGTATACTGTTTGGATTGCGAAAGTGTGTGCTTCTACATTTTCCAAATGTTGTGATTCAAACGGATTATAAGATACTTTCCGATATCTTAAAAATACAAGTAGGTTTTACTTGGAAATACTACTTGGAGATGACCGAGATGTGCTCCAGTATAAGTCGGAATAGTTTTCCTATAGCTTATATTTACAGAGAGGGAAATGCAGTTGCAGATAGTTTGGCCAAGCAAGCAGCAAGTGGAGTCTCTGCTATTTTCAATAGCTTTTCTTTGCTTTCATGTTATGTAAAGGGACTTTTGATATTAGATCAATTATCCTTTCCATATTTACATAGCTAACCATAAAAAGCTTTGTAAAGGGTTAGTATACACGCTCCCCTCTTTTTATTAAATTTAATAAAATTACTAGGGATACAATGGATTTGGGATAGGAAGTCACAATATTTATTTTAGAGGTATATCCTCTTTGCGTGTTGTGTTTTCTATTCCTATTTCCTTAGTCTCTCTATTTTAGTTTTAAAAAAAGGTAAATGTTTTTTTGTGTGTGTGTGTTTTCCCGCTTTTTTTATTACATTGAAATGGCTTATCAAAATACATTGTTACTTATTTCAAATATCACCAAACAAGTAGTTTTGATGTTTGATGTAAGTATATATATAAATAATTTAGCTCATAAAAGATTCTTGGGATGTTTTTTCATATAAAGAAATCGTGTTTCATGTCATAATCGTATCTTTTTCATGTCGTATAATCAGATTTTAGGTAATTATATGCATATTTAAATTTTTTCGTGTATGTTTGGGTCATATCGGATTTTTCGTGTTATTATTAAAATGTGTTTAAGTTCATATTATTGACCCGTATTGTTAAACAAGTTGTGTTCGAGTTCGTACAAAAAGTTTTAGGTTCGACACGCAAACCTGAAACACGACTTGATTAACACCCCATTTTTCCACTTAGAGATTTTTTTTTCAGATATACATGCCCACCTAACGAATTCCACGCAACTTTCTCATTTATTAATTCTTTACTTTTGGCAACATTTACCTAAATTCTTATTGTGCCATTTATTATATTAAGCAAAATTTATTATAACATATCGTTTCAATGCGATTAACTCTTACATTCTCCGACAATTTACATTTGATATTAATTATTTGGAACATTTGGATGAGGATCAGTAGAAATGGTTGATAAGTGTCACCTTATGCATGTTATTGGGCAACATAACATGATAAGTGTCACCATATCTTACCTCTTTGTACCTAGGATTTAGGCCAATTAGGAAGTATTTTAAGTGCATAGCTTAATTTGGTGACTTTTGGTGATCCAGGGACTTAATTGCAAAATCTATAAAAAGGTGGGCAAAATGTGGCAGATTGGTGAAGTTCTGGGTGCAATTGAAAAAGGCATGACTGGACTGATGGTGCAATTCATGCAGGCTGATGTATCTGGCGGGAATCGGAGCTGCTGAAGGCCAAATTCAAGCTATTCTTCAAGGCTAAGGCAAAACAAGCATGGAGGAAATCATGAGGTTGCTGTCAATCAAGGGAAGGCGTACATGAAGGCTGAATTAATCAACCAAACACATTCCCAAAAAGGTGATTAGAGGTGAGGGGGAAGGTAAGAATAGGTATGGGTCTCCTCATTTTGGTTTAATCCATTGGGTAAAGAGGAGACCAACCTCATTAAGCAAGATTACCTCTCCCAACATCTAAACAAACCATCAGCAGCAGAAGAAGAAGGCAACGAGAGTTAGGAAGAAAGAAAATTAAGAGTTAGTTTTTAGTTAGGTTAGAAACAGAGTATAAGTTAGGAAAGCAGACTCAGGGGTGTCTCTTGGGGAAGTGAGAAGCTTTGCAAAGTTAGCAGCACACCACACTCCCTGACTTTGTTCTTCCCCTATTTTCTACCTTTCTGTGTAATCATGTGGAAACTTTTGTACTTTGATTCTTTTGTGTTTTAAGTTTCCAGGCATGTGTAGCTAAACTCCTTTCTAGGGTCTAATCCCTTTACTCTATTTAAGTATTTTTTTGATTTAGCTCTCGGATGATATTTGTGTGCTTAGTGACTTAGTCTTAGAGTTTTCATTATCCTTTTAGTTGAATTGACCATTAACTAATTGTGCTTGTATGTTAGGGGAATCTTGAAAAGGTAAACTTAACTTAGAATATCTAAGCTTAACCGATGATGAGGGGTTAACAGCCCAAGGTTTCACACAACAACAGAAGTTAGTTGTTTGGCATGAGGCAATCATAAGGGCTTAGGAACCTAATGGCTTAGTAGTATTATGGTGTCAACAACGAAAGTTAGTGGGTTTGTTGTTGCTAGGACTGCTGTTAGGAATATCGAAAGTGACCTTACAGTGTTGTTGTGCCTGATTGAACACAATTTCATACCACTAAGAGAGCAATTAAATCAAGGCATATGCATATTGAGTAGAGAGGAGGACGACCCTAGATTTCATCCACTTTGTCAAACCATAAAACCACTTGCCCAAGACTTAATTCTGTTCATACATTACATAACTTGCACTGAATCCCATTTTTCATCTGATATTTCCCGTCTGTGGGGTCGACCCTTCTTATCACTTTCTACGAGTTTTAAGTAGGTTGATTTTGGTGGATTCGACATCCAACAAAAGTGGCGCCGCTGCCGAGGATGACATAAAATATCTTGGAAATTGTTTACTGTTCATCATTTCCATACTCTGTTTTTTTTTTTTCAGATAACTTGAAAAATCAAACCCCCTTCGTTTTGTTACTTGTTACCTTTGGTTCTTAATATCTGGTGTATGACTAGGAGCAATCCCCCTGAGGAATTGTTCTTTGACTCCAAAATCGAAGCCACTTCCAAGAGAATCAGACGCCTCAGACGACAGTACGCAGCTACTAAAGCCAAGGAGGAGTTTGTTGATACTATAGAAGCCTGAGTTGAAGAAGAAGTCAGAAATAATGGTGGGGCTGAAATTCAACAGGCTCAGCCTCGATTATTGAGAGATTACTTTATCCCTCAACAAGACTCACCACTGGTGTTTCCTAATGTAGATTCTGACAACTTTGAGCTCAAATCCATTATGATTCAATGGGTTCAAACAGCCTATCCATTTCAGGGTTTATCCTATGAAGACCCCAACAATCATCTACAAACCTTCTTGAGGGTCTGCAATACATTCAAGATCCATGGACTATCTCAGGATGGCATCAAATTGAGATTTTTCCCATTTACTCTGCAAGATCAGGCTCAGACGTGGTTAAATTTTCTGCCCAACAACTCAATCACCAATTGGCAGGAGCTGAGGCAGGCATTTTTAACCAAGTTCTTCCCACCATCCAAGGTAGCACATTTCAGAACTGCAATCCCAGCAACATCCAGATGATTCTCTATACGAGTCATGTGAATAATTCAAGGAGCTGCTCAGAAAATACTCACAGCATGGAATTGAGGATCATATGAGGTTAGGTATTTTCTATAATGGTCTAACCTAATCTTCTAGAGAATTCCATGATTCCTCTTCTTGTGAAGCATTTATGATGAAGAATGTAGGAGAATCAACCTAGCTACTAGAGAACATGGCAATTAACCATTACAGGTGGCAAGTAGATCCCAAAGCTCTCCTAAAGAAAGCTGGTGTATTCAAAGTAGATACAGCCACTCATATGCAATCTCAACTCTCCATGATAATCAACCAGATAAGCAAACTGGAATCTAACATCGCCAAGTCAAAAACTGACTTGTGTGAGCCATGTTCTGGTCCCCATAAGCATGATAACTGCCCTGAGTTGTTGGAGTCAGCTCAATATGGTCGTCAGAATAATGCAGGTGGTTTCAATCCTTACAACAACTAGAGAGGGAACCTAAACAGCAACTGGCACAACAATCAGCAACAAAGGAGCTATCAAAGGCCTGAGTGGTTAACCTGGTTTCCAGAAGCAAGAATGTAGCTTAAAAGAAAGTGATCTGGTTGATATAAATACTATGCTCAAGTCTTTACAAGAAAAATGAGCACCAAATGGAGGCAAAGTTGAGTCAGAATGAGAAGTTAGTTGCTGAAAGAATGACAGGAAGTTTGCCTAGTGATACCATAGAAAACCCTAAACAGGGTGTTCAAGAGCAAGCCAAAGTGGTGTCATTTCGTAATAGAAAGAAACTCACTTCTTCAAGTGAGGCCTCACATTCCACACCTGTTGAAGCACCTGAGAAAGCTGAAGATGTCATAAATCTCACTGAAGAAAAAGAAGATGCAGTGGATCCTAAGGCCAGGGGCATTCCACAACAGGAACAGGCTTGTCGGGGTAGGCTCAATCTCCATCTCCTCAACAGCAGCCTGTCAATCCACCACCCCCCTATCCACTAAGACAAGCTAGGAAGAAGACTTTTGAAGCAACTATCACCAGATTCAGGAACAATCTGGAAAGCCTTCACATCAACATTCCATTGATTAATGCTCCAAAGCAGATGCCAAAGTATTTCAAGCACCTGAAGGAGCTAGTTTCAAGCAAGCCAAGGATTCATGATTCATCATTCATTACTTTGAATGAGAAGTGCAATGCAGCCATTCTGAAGAAGCTGCCAGCAAAGCTCAAGGATCCAGGGAGTTTTACCATTTACTGCACTGTTGGTAACACTAAATTTAAGAAAGTTTTGCTAGATTTAGGTGCAAGTATTAACTTGATGCCTTTATCTATTTTTAATGCACTTAGAATCAGTGATATTCTGGTTCTTACTAAACTTACCTTGCAGCTAGCTGATAGATCACTCACATATCCAAAGGAGTGTTGAATGACATTCTTGTGAAAGTTGGGTCATTCATCTACCCAGCTGACTTCGTTGTCTTGGATATGGAGGAAGATAAGGATGTCCCCATCATTCTGGGTAGACATTTCTTAGCAACCTTTGATGCTATAATTAAAGTAAGAAAGGGAGCTGTCACTCTGCAATTTGATGGAGAACAGGTGACATTCAACATTTTCAACAGCATGAAATTCCCTGCAGAAATGCAGAAGTGCTTCAAGATTGATGCAGTAAAAGAGTCCATTGAGAAGGCATCTATAGAGGTAATTGAATTCGATGAATTGCTTAAGCTACTAATTGATGTTGATATGGATGCAGAGATAACAGATGAGAACTCGGCCATGGCCTGTCTAAGTTACTTAGATCATTCCCCTAAGTGGCCATACAAAAGTTAACCTGTGGAGTTACTAGATCTCTCTAAAGAAGGAAAATCTCATAAACCCTCCTTGGAAGAGCCACCAACTCTGGAGTTACAACCACTACCAACACATTGCAAGTATGTGTATTTAGGGAGAAACAACACTCTGCCTATAATCATCTCAGCATCACTGACTGAGACAGAGGAAGACAAGCTGATGAGGGTTCTGAGACTATACAAGGAGGCAATAGGGTGGACTATAGCTGATATCAAAGGCATCATCCCTTCCATCTGCACTCACAAGATCCTACTTGAAGAAAAAGCAAAACCTGGCATAGAAGTTCATAGGAGATTGAATCCAGCCATGAAGGAAGTAGTCAAGAAAGAGGTCATCAAGCTGTTAGACACAGGAATCATCTACCCTATATCTAATAGTGCTTGGGTGAGCTCAGTCCGGTGTGTCCCTAAGAAAGGAGGGATGACTACGGTGAAGAATGATCAGGATGAACTCATCCCAAACAGAGTGGTCAGTGCTTGGAGAGTATGAATGCATTACAAAAGGCTCAACAAGGCCACCAGAAAGAATCATTTTCCACTGCCTTTCATTGATCAGATGCTGGACAGACTAGTTGGATACAGAAACTACAACTTCCTGGATGGTTACTCAGGGTATAACGAAATTGTTGTTGCAGCTGAAGACCTGGAGAAGCACATTCACTTGCCCTTATGCCACCTTTGCATTGAGCAGGACGCCATTTGGCTTGTGCAATGCACCTGCAACATTCAAGAGGTGTATGACGGCAATATTCTCAGATATGGTGGAAGAGATTATTGAAGTTTTCATAGATGACTTCTCAGTGTTTGGGAAAACTGATGAAGTTTGCATGGAAAACTTAAGGTGTTGCGGAGATGCATAGAGACCAACCTGGTGCTGAATTAGGGAAAATGACATTTCATACTAACAGAGGGCATTGTTTTGGGCCACAGGATCTCAGAGATGGGCATTGAAGTTGATAGAGCCAAGATAGAGGTGATAGAAAAGCTCAGTCTACCCACAACACTTCGTGGAGTGAGAAGTTTTCTTGGCCATGTAGGTTTCTATAGGAGATTCATCAAGGAGTTATCAAAGATTTCTAAGCCCTTGTGTAATCTTCTAGAGAAAGATGCTGCATTCATCTTTGATGAACCCTGCATCAAGGCATTTGAGGAGCTCAAGGAGAAGCTCATTTTTGTCTCTGTAATTGTCACACCTGATTGGAGTAAGCCATTCATAATCATGACTAATGCCAGTGACTTTGTAGTGGGAGTTCTACTAGGCGAGAGGAGAAACAAGGTATTGGATGTTATCTACTATGCCCGCAAGACTCTGAATGCAACCCAAATCAACTGCTCAACCACAGAAAAAGAGATGCTAGCTATAGTGTTTGCCTTTAACAAATTCAAGTCCTTTTTATTAGGCATGAAAGTCATTGTCTACACTGATCATGCAGCCATCAAGTATCTGGTTACCAAGAAGGATTTCAAGCCAAGGTTGATTAGATGGGTGCTTTTGTTGCAAGAGTTTGACTTGGAGATCAAGGACAGAAGAGGTGTGTTGAACCAAGTTGTTAATCATCTATTAAGGCTGGAAAATGTGCCTGAAAATCCTACACCAATTGCTGAAGTCTTCCATGATGAACAACTTTGGAAGGTGACAGAAACACTTGCCCAAGTGCTTGATCAGAGGCCATGGTTTGCAAACTATGCCAATTATGTTGTCTCTGGAATCACACCTGAAGGGTTGACAAATCAGGAAAGGAAAAAGTTCATTCATGATGCCAAGAACTACTATAGGGATGAGCCCTACTTATTCAGAAGATGTGTGGACCAACTCATCAGAAGATGCATTCTAGAATCAGAGACACATTATCCTGGAGAAATATCATAGCTCACCTTATAGAGGACATTTTGGAGGCCAAAGAACTGCTGTTAAGGTACTACAATCTGGGTTCTTTTGGCCTACTCTATTTAAGGATGCTAGAAATTTTCTGCTTTGTGACAGATGCCAAAGAACATGAAATCTATCCCGGAGAAATGAGTTTCCACATGAAATGATCATGGAAGTAGAACTCTTTGATGTGTGGGGCATAGACTTTATGAGACCTTTTGTGTCATGTTTTGGCAACACACACATTCTACTTGCAGTTGATTATGTTTCTAAGTGGGTAGAAGCTGTGGCAGTTCACTCCAGTGATGAAAAACAGTGGTGAGGTTCTTGGAAAAGAACATCTTCTCACATTTTGGCACACCAAAGATAATTATCAGTGATGAAGGCTCTCACTTCTGCAATAGAGCATTCACCACCTTGATGGCTAAATTTGGCATAAAGCACAAGGTTTCCACTCCTTACTATCCTCAAAGCAATGGCCAAGCAGAGGTGTCTAACAGAGAGATCATGAGGATCTTGGAGAAGGTAGTCAGTATCGCAAGAATTGACTGGTCTACAAGACTTGATGATGCTCTCTGGCATACATAACAGTCTTCAAAACTCCAATTGGCATGTCTCCATTCAAGCTGATGTATGGGAAAGCATGCCAACATCCTGTTGAGTTAGAGCATAAGTCTGATTGGGCTTTAAGGGAGTTAAACATGGATCCAAAACTCAGCAAGGAGTCAAGATTGTTGTAGCTAAATGATCTTGAAGAGTTCAGACTGGAGGCTTATGAGTTCTCTAGAATCTACAAGGAGAAGGCCAAGGATTTCATGACAGGAATTTGATAAGAAAACATCTAGAAGTTGGCCAGTTGGTTCTACTTTACAATTCTAGGTTGTGGCTTTTCACTAGAAAGCTAAAGTCAAAGTGGATAGGGCCATACAAGATCAACAAGATCCTGAGCCAAGCTGTTGTGGAGTTACTCAATTTGCAGAGTGGAAACACATTCTTGGTGAATGGCCAGAGGTTAAAACCATACTTGGGAATGCAATCTGAAGGAGAACAGGGCAGTCATGTCCTAGCACTCCATGGTCTCAAGTAACCTTGTAGAAAAGTCTGGCATAAGACATTAAACGATGCGCTTCTTGGGGGGCAACCCAAGCATCTTTTGTTCTAACCCTTTATCTTCTACTCTTTTGTTTATCATCCAGGAAAGCAGTGAATTCCCCAGCCGAAAAGAGCAACGGTTCAGGAGGAAAGCAATGACCAATATCTTACTAATGTTGGAAGAAAGAAGCAATCAACATTGGTCATCTCCTTCAAAAATTGTACACCATGTCGTAAAGTCAGTTTCTGACTTCCGTAAGTCATTTTGAGCATTCAAAATTGAACATGAGTCTATCTTTGACTTTTGTGGTTGGTCATCATTTTACGTTTGGGGGGGAAAACAAATGTGCTGCACTATATGTTTTGGCGGCCAAAAGGAACAAAACCTTTTGGAATATGAAAAGACTGGGCATGGGGAGTTGTTGTCTTTTGCTCAAAAACTATACCTCCCCACGTCCCTAAGTCCTTCTTCTTCTTTTCTCTCTATCTCATAACTCCTCCACCTTCTGCACTTCAACTCCTTCATACTCTTCCAAATAACCTTCTCCTACAAGACCAAACATTCCTCTATTTTCACAGATCTCACTTGTTCGAGAACAACATTTGACGTTTTTGTAGGAATCTATGGCATCACGAGTTAAGCAAACGGCGAGGAAAAGGATGCTACAGATCCAGGGGACCGGATTTCCTTGGGTGCAGCCGGCGGTTCAACCCCTACCTATCCCAGATTCGAAGCATACCAGGGAGGAAAGGGATGAAATACGAAGACGCCTTCAAGAACCCCGACATTGGAATTTCTTTCTGACCAATCTCACCTGGGATTTCTTCAAGAAAAATAGGAATGGGGTCGCCATTATTGAATGCAAGCTCATCAACGAAGGAAATCCCTCCGCATACATCAAGGATAAATGATGGGAAGGTCTTTGCAATCCTACGATCAGGCTACGACTTCTGGCAGTACAAGAATTCTATGCAAATCTTGTGTGTGCACAGGGAGAAGGGCGATATGTCTTTGTTCAAGGCTCTATAGTCAAAGTCAGCATGGAGGCCATCTGGGAAGTTTTGGGATTGCCTGAGGTAGACAATGATTAAGAGAATGATGTTGCAAACCTTCCAATGACGAGGGATATTTGGCATCCCCTAAAAAAAGTTCTTTGCAACAATCCGAAGTCCTTCAATTGGACCCCGGATAAAAATGGTGACCCTAAACAGTTCCCTACCAAGTGCCTCAAAGATCAGTACAGAAGCTGGTTCAACTTGGTTTGCACAAACATCAAACCAACCAAGTCTTGCTAGTATGTCACCTTTGACAGGGCACTGCGGGTGTATGCCATGGTGAATGACATTTCCATTGATGTTGCTTTGATCATCCGACAACAGATAGACGCATGTATCACAAATTAGAAGCAAAAATGCTGGTTCTTCCCCGTTCTCCTCACTATGCTGATGGATTGGTCCGGGGTAAATTTTGGACCAAGGGATAGAAGAACAGAGTTGCCGCTACCATAGCATTTGGAAGCACCACCGCCACTGCCACCTATTGAAGAAATACCTAATCCTGTAAATTAGGGAAGCTAATTCTCTTTTGTTTGTTTTCTTTTCCTTCTGTTCTGTAAATGCATATATGTGTTTTGGCTATGAGGACTAATGATCAGCTAGTGGATAATGAGAACAAGGAAGCTGAAGCTCTGGAAACTGAATAACGAAAGGAGCTGAAGATACAAACTCAGAGTTGGAAGAGTTTCCAAGGTTGTTGCGTCGGGACAAACTGATGAACCTGAATATGCTCGTGATGATATCGAGATTGGAAATCAGACTGATAGAAAAAATCTTCAAATAACAAGGGTGGTGGAATCTGATGAGGAAGGGAATAAGAAGAAGCCTGACCGGCCTAGGGGATCAGTCAAGAACAAGAAGCCTCAAGGAGCTGAAACTCGGAAATCTTCGAGACTCAATGGTGATACATCTTCAAAAGTTTCCAATGAGTAATCAATTAATCTAAAACATACGTGGTATTG